CAAATGTGAAAAAAAAATCATCTACCAACTGTTTTCTTAAGATTCCTGCTCATTTACCAGCTTATCAATTTTTTTCAGGCCTGGCAAATAATTTTCTACTGAATAGTACATTTGAAAAACCATATGATATTTTAAAATAAAATATCATTTGTAGTTGAGCATTATACAATGTTATCATTAATTCCTTACGTTAACAGATTCTTCATCAATATTAATCAAAATTACAACAATGATTTATAAAAAAAAAAACCTCATCACTACTGCTGGATTCCAAAGAGCTTGGACAACTGGTATTTTGGCTACTGACCTCTAGTGAAGAGTCGTAGCCACTTTCGTCAGCATTTTTTGCGTTGTCTGTAAAAGAGTCAATAAAAATATTCAAATAACAATTGGCAAAATGACACTTTAGTTGCCTAGACCACAACTTTGGACTCGGTGCCTGATCAAGAAAGAGAAACAAGAAAAGAGGGGAAAATGAAATATTGAAATACTGCAAAACTGCAAAATTGAAATCAGAATTTCAGAAATAATAAAATTCTGATTTATGAATTGGTTTATAGTCACCAACACATATCAAGATTTTCCTCCCTCCTGTTTCTTTTTGTCATCCCACAATATTCAAATACACATGTAATGGAGGAAGAGAATAAATCACACTTCTTTGTTGACAGTGCAAATATATATATATACTCACTGTACACAGTATATATATTCAATACCCTATCATTTGCGTATGTTATTAATACAAGTGCATATGCTACAAGTACAAGTGGCAATGAAAATAAAAGGTTTGTACATTTTATATTCTATGCAATATTTGGGGGGTATGTAAGATTCCTTTAATTCTCACCTTCTTGTTATTAATGACATTTTAATATATGTAATAATAATTATATAACTTACTGTTACAAGACACTCCGTGATACACTCACCTTTATCAGTCAAATTCACATAAGTTTCTAAGGTTTCCCCTACATGCTGTGACTCACAATCATCAACTAAATCCATGTCTAATAGATACTTCCTCTGAATTAAAAAAATAACAGTCTCTTGGTACGATCAGGCAATTGTTTCTTTGGTCCTTTCCGATGGTCCTGATTTCAAACTGAAATAGAAATAAATTTCTCACTCTTGAATCCAACCGATCTCTCATTTCATTCAAATAAAAATCATATTCTGATGAATCACACACTTTCAGTATTTGTACAGTTTACTTTGAAATTCATGCACTTTCGGTTATCTTGCTTTTAGCTAATCACTTTCCTTTTAATTACTAGCATTTCTGGGGTAGCGCTAGCAATTTTTTTCGCTTAGCCAAATCACCACATTTTCGTCAATTTGTTACCAAAATGGTTATAATTTGGCTAAAACATGTCAAATCAAGCCCTTTTTCTTTAGCCAATTTAAGTCAGTTTTAGCACTTGGCTAAATTGGCGAGTGTTAGCACTACCCCAGCATTTCTTTTACATCACTACACATGAACCTGAATTTGTAATTAATATCATTTTAAGCTCTTTCAGCAATATATACAAGTAACAGTATACATACTGCAATAATGCCAAGTTCTAATCTATAAACTAATGCAGAAAAGAAGATCGTTACATACAGTATTATGGAACTAGTGCAATACAGAATATATATACTTGAAATTTGGAAACTACGAGATATGCAACTAAGCCTACAAAATTCAGATGGGTAATCTTTTTTCTGAAATTTTTTTTTTACTCTTTGTTGATCCAACTTGAAAAACAGCATAAAATTCACACAAATTCACTTTTAATTCCGATCTGCATGTTCCCTGTGGAAAGGGTACTTACTCTTTTCAAACTCCTTCAATCTCACCCCACAGCCCTGTAGTATATTACAGAAAACACCAAAACTAAACTGACGTACTCACCTCCACTGTTACCAGTTAACAAACACAGAAATGAGCCTCTCTAGTCCTCTCTCTGCCCGCGCTGATTAGATAGGGAACCCCACTATAGGTCTATCTTAGCAGGGGACGTTGACCTGACAATAAGAAGAGTTCAGATAAGATATTGTACATTTGAATATACCCTTGTATTTATACTGCAAAGCAGCATTGGGGCTATTACTCACTAAGGATGGTGTAAAATGTTAGTTTCACATAAAATAGGAAGAAAACGTCAAAAGTGATTGTTTCTCATATGAGCTTCCTCCTTTAATTAAAAATGAAATAGGATGTTAAGATTCTGTGCATTGATTTGGTACACCTCCCCCCTCCCCCACAACTAGGATCCAAAATAAATAAAGCTTTATTTTGGATCCTAGCCCACAATCAATGAACAGTAATGCTGACCAATGTATATTTATAGACAAATACGATAGATAATATGACAAATATTTTCATTTCTACAATGTTGATTGGCAACATAAGAAACTGAAGGGCATGACCTTAGGAAAAAAAGTTAACTGTTTACAAGACTTAACTCATTTAGTAACTACATGTCCAGGTATATATATATATATATATATATATATATATATATATATATATATATATATATATATATGCATTTCAATGATTTGTGAAAATTGCACATTCAAGGTCTGGCTGAATATGCAATATGCCCTTTTTTTTCTTCAAAGAGATCAGCTCTGACCAATTTTCATACCCTTCCCAGGGATAAAAGAAACATAAACAGTAACATATTGATTTTTTCTAAATTACAATTTAGGCTAACTACTATATATATACATGTACAGTACAATAAACTTGTTACCAATGTAAATATTAGTTCAATAAAGTATTCTTTGCAACTGTTAAACAAATACAATGAATCAGAAAGTGAAAATTCATTGGCTTAAAAAATCCATTCTAAAACAACCACTAGAAGGTGTACAATGTATGTATCTCGAAGGCAGGAAGCACTTGCAATACATACATGTACATCCCCTTTTGATTTACCAACTATCTCCGTTTCTGCACCATGTGAGTAAAATCAGCTACTTCCTTGTTCATCTTGTTCTTAATTTGTGTCACGACTGGACCATTAATTGATAAGAAAGACCAAAGGCCTAGCTTGCAGATAATGAGAAGCAGGGATTTCCCCAGGACAGTAGAAGTAGATTTTCATTTTATTTATTTATCATTTTAATTTATTCTTTTCCAGAATGCATTTAAGACCCCATTCCCAGAGATTAGATCGATCCAACTAGATCAACCTAACTCCCTGGGGGTTCATGCTAAATAGCTATCAGCCGAGCAGGCACAAAAGTTAATTACCCCCTTACAACTTGTAGTAGGCGGGATAGACATTTAAGCCGGATCTGACAGTCATCTAGTGAGACTCTCCATGGTGATAGATCGACCTAAAATCTATGGGAATGCCCCCTAAGTTACATATAACATGCACACTGAACTAGACACGAACACGCTTTCACCTTTGGAGCGACTCCATAATAATCTCCTTATGATTTCTGCACAACTATAAAAACCGAGAAAAAAAAGTAACATTACCACACTGAATTTTACTATTACAGCGTATATACACTATACCACGGTTGGCGCTTCAAACAATACAATAATAGCACTTGTATTTCAATACAGTCTATTGCTCTTCTTTTCTTTTGCTTCGTTGCATTCAACCTATTTTCCCAAGCACCAGTCTTGGGAAAGGTCAGTTACAACTACTGGTTGCGTCCACTGTATGTGACCTACAAGAGCAAATTATATCCAGGATTACTGGAAATGGGGGTCCACCGATGTGACCCCCCCCCCCCCCCCCTTACATGGAACTTTGCAATGTTACAAGGAACTTTTCCAAAACAACAAATTCTTAATTGAATTCATTAAAAAGAAGGAAAAGTAGGAGGTTTTCTTTCAAAGTAGAGGGGTCTTACTCAAAATGTAGGAAAAGTATGACTTAAGTCTAGATTTGGGGCTCGGACAAGGAGCCCAAAATGTTGATCTGTAATGTGGTCACCGACTTGCAGGGAGTCCATAAATATATCATCATTCTCCAAAAATTTTGTAAGTTGTTCAGCCATCTCTGAAAACATACATGTAGGTCTTCTTTTGAGGCCAGTGTCCCTCAAAATGTTGACTTGAAAGACCTGTTGAGCAATCAAGTTAGTGGCCAGCTTGACCAAAGTTACATGTAGGTACAACGTACCTGTCTGCGTGCATTCAGATAACTTTAAATTTGTCCTGGAATATGTTTCTCTAGACCTGTGATTTGTAATCAATGAATCAGTTGTCATATCTAAACATCATATGACTTCAAAAGTAGCCCTATTCAAACCCGTAGCCAGCAATTTCAAAAGGGGGGGGGGTCTCTTTCTGAATGAATGGACCTTTTTCCAATGAAACCTTTGTCTATACAGTACCTGGATCAAATTTTGCCCGTAATGGATCTTTGCCTGGCAAAAAGGGCGGTTCTTTCGAACCCCCCGACCCCCCTGGCTAAGGGCCTGCTATTAAAACTCAACAAAAAAAAAGCTGTCCCGCAAATGGAACGCAAATGGACATAACTTGCTCCCGGCGTATGACTCATAACGTTCTATATTTATCCTCGGAAATTTTGACATGTGGGCCGGCGATTCTGTTCGGGTTCAGCCTCTTCGCCATCTTTTTTTTTTTAACTTTCAAAACACGTATTGGCAGCGAAAAACGGTTCTGCGTGATTGAAAGCATTACGTATTTAAATCGCTGGAAACGTTCCAGTGATTTAAAAATGAATTGTTGATTTCTACCGTACATGTACACCACTACATGTGGGTGATGCCTTAATGGTTTGGCGGTTTACAGTCGTTATATCTTCGTCTGCTGGCCAACTTTAACATGCAAACCCTAGTTCATTTCTTTTAAAACAAAGTGTCATGATATAAAAGTTAAGGGTCCGCATGGCTTACCGTGACAACTTGAAAGCTTCATCTTGAATACATGTTGCCTGACCCGTCTATCTAAATATAGGTTGGCCTCAATTTGGACATGATATTTTACATCCAATCTGAGGCTAGGGAATTCCCCTGTCACGTGAACTAACTCTGTTACTTTCAACAGGTAGTCATAATTTTCAACCAAAAATTGTTGTTTATCCGAAAATACAAAAATATGAAGTCAATAAGAAAGTGTATTTGCTGTTATTTGCTGTGATTTGCTGAGTAAATTATTTTAAATTTGCAATGAAAATTAATTTTAAAAGCTACTGCGCTGACACCTTTCGTCAGTTTTGATAAACAGGAGAGCACATGTGCAGCTGTGGAAATGTCAAACTCGGGCGGGTTGAAGCGGAAAGCGGACAACCATGATGGAAAACACGACAAGAAAAGACCGGTGCCACCTTGGGCATTGGGGCTTAAGTCTTCGATGGAAGACCCCGCACTTAGGGTCGAAGACGATGACAAAGTTGTCATAATAAAGGACAAATACCCAAAGGTACTGACGCATTAATGTGGTGGGCACTGCATTGTGACTGGTACTCATACACGTACGTGCATGTGCCTCCTAACTGTAGTACATCTGGAGTACTCCATATGTGTTCGGGTACATGCCACCCTAGTATATGTACACAGGTACTGTGTTGGTATGGTGAAAACTGCAAACGTTTGAGGATGTACAGTACCAGTATACATACAGTACGTGTTTTAAGTTGAACCTACATGTAATAGCCTATAGGGGTTGATGTTATTACACAATTTACAGGATTGTCTTTTGATCAAAAGTTTCCTTTTTAATTCCCCCTTTGGAAAGACAACTCTCTCTCTCTCTCTCTCTCTCTCTCTCTCTCAACTTTTTTATTTCTACAATATACCAGTACCTGAACATTTTGCAATGTTTTCATTTACCCTCATATCTCACCTTTAAATTCTTACCCATCACATTTCCTGTATTCCTTTAATTCAATATGTATGCTGAATTTGCATGAATTGATTAAACAGATTTTAAAAGCTGATATATATATACTGTAGTACTTTAAAATTTTGTATGGTCATATGTGCATACTATAACGATTACCATGGTCTCTTAATTAACTGCCTTAATTGCTATAAAAGGGGATTTATTTTCAGGCAAGACAGCATTACCTTATCTTACCAAAGGAAGATATCTGCAACTTGAAAAGTCTAAATGCTGAGCATATTCCTTTGCTGAAACACATGCAGAAAAAAGGACAAGAACTTGCAGACAAGTGAGGGCCCAATATCAGATCCCTGGGGTCCCCATTTCTCTGCATTTAACCCCATATCAAAACCAGCAGAAGTCCCTTTATTTTTATTACTTGTTTCTCAAACAATTTAATTTTTTTTTTGTTAGAGGCTGTTATCTATAAAAACTTAAATATTTATTATTTGTTACTTTCATTTTTATCATCAGTATATGAAGGAGTTTTTATCCCATTAGCTGTGATCATGAGTAAAAAACTTACTATGTTAAGTAAAAATTTTTATTTACTTGTGCATCTTAAACTTACTCTGAATAATCAAGTTTATTTTAAGAGCTCACTACAGAGAACAACTTCTTATGTATATATTTTCTATTTAAACTGAAATAATTATTATATTTTCCAGGTCTCCTCAATGTCAGTTTAGGCTGGGATATCATGGAATTCCAAGCATGAGGTTAGAAGGCAAATAAATAAATAAATAAATAAATAAATAAATAAATAAAATTTCAAGAAATCAACTAGGGCTTGGGTATCTTTTACTTTATATGATATTATGTGGCAATGGAGGCTCTACCAAAGGCTCTTCTAGCTGTTACAGAATAAGCTAATGGACCAGGAGAGACTCTGGCAGAGAGAAGTGTACAAGTAGTTGATTGAAAAAGGGGGGGTGGGGGGTTAAGAGAGAAATTTCCATTTGGAAATATGACTATAGTTAAGATTTAAGGTTAATCTTGTGGCAGTAGATAAATGGATGGATGGCTGTAAGAGATGTTAAAATTGTTTTTTTTTTGTCTTTTTTGGTATGGAATTGACTTCATGGTTGTACAGTTAATAACTTGTTATATTTTTCGGGAATTGATATTCTTTGTTACAGATTTGATAAACATTTTCTGTATAATTTCAGCCAAGTTCATCTTCATGTTATTAGTCAAGACTTTGACTCACCATGCCTAAAAACTAAGAAACATTGGAATTCTTTTACCTCAGAATATTTCATAGACTCCTCAGGTAACATCTTACTAATGCATGTTCTTCAAATCAGCTTTGAAAAGAATCACAAAAGCAGCCTGGACATTTTTATTTAGTTAAGTGATTTTTTCCTTTAAAACAAGAATATGCACGTGTATACCTTGGTCGCAACAGTTTTGTATTCAGTGACCTCTAATTATGTTTTTGTTTTTATAAAGCATTATTTTGTTTAAAATGATATGAAATACATTTTACATTCAGAGAAAAAAGTACCATGGATTTATCCCAAAATCTGAAGAATTATAGAAAATTAATGAAATTTTGCCTAGTGTGATGGTCCATGCCTTCAGTGCTTGCATTTTCAGGATATTTTAAAAGGGTCCACTTTCATCTTAGTCTGCAGTTTTATAGCTCAATAATTTTAGTACACACTGATTTCACAATTTTCAAGGTAACATTTCTGCTTTCATGTCCTTTCTTGTCTTACAGATGTCATAAAACAGTTAGAAGAGAAAGGCTCAGTCAAAGTGGATACTGGGAAATTTGAAGGTTATCTAAAGCAAGCCTTAAAGTAAGCATCATGCTGCCTTAGGATTAGTATTATTTTATTCTACATTTGCCCACCAAATTTAAACTAAAATTAGGGTTCTTTTGCATGCCTATGTAGTTCTTTGCATAAGGCTGCAAGATTCTGCTAAACCAATTGACAGTATGACAGCCCAGAGCAGACAAGAGCACCAATTAGATTGATCAGTCATCTTTAAACCTGTAAAATTTCACCTCAAACAACATGGTCTTTCAACAAACATCATGTAAAATACAATTTGACTTTAAAAAATTCTGATTTGCATGTGAAAAGCAGACTTACACCTTTTGGATGTTGTCTGCCTGTTTTTGTTGTTTTTTTTTTGTTTTTTTTCTGCAATACATTAATTGAACATGTTCAACAGTGGTGCCATTTTCCGGTTATTTTAAATTAAAAAGAAAAAAAGGTTCAATTTCTCAAGGCCCAGCCTCACATAAGAACTCAAGAGTTGGTCAGAACTTTTGGTTTACTTAAAAAGGAATTTTTTAACATCAGTCCTTGATAAATGCATACACATGTAAGTACACGCAGAGTTCCACTAAAAAGTAACCAACATTCTAACACATTGGCCAGTTTTTTAAAGTTTTGTGAAACTGGCCCCATATAATCATTAAAGTGCACTATGATTTATTCATTTAGACCAAAGTAGACTCTACATGTATTTCTCATTTAAGATACTTGACCAACTTTCTTCTAATGTTCATTTATGACACTGCATTTTAATGTCACCAGTCTTAAGATATTGATTAATGAAATCTTAGCCATGAGAAATAAATGCCCTGCCTTTGCAAATTAACTTTCATGATTCACAGAAAAACTTGGTAGTTTATTCCTTTTCCTGGAATATTGTCAAGGCAAATAAAGGTTAAGGTCTTGGTATAAGAGGTCCTGTGACAGAAATGGTCTAAGTTTGCAAAATGTTAGAGGATAAAGATGAAGACTTCATGACTGTAGACTTGATTGGCTGTACCTCAAGTAAAAACACTTCAGTTTTTCATTTATCATTTTAGTAGATTTATGTGTATTTGTATTTGATTTTTTATTTATTATCTTATTGGACTTCATGTGTAAGTATTGCATTATTGTAGTAATGTTTGCCCTTACCCAGTCGGTGAATAGCTGCAAAGCTAATGTTTCCTTTCAATTTATACCCGACATAAAATAAAAATCATTGTATTGTATTGTACTGTATTGTATTGTATTGTATTGTATTGTATTGTATTGTAAAGTGTGTGGGTTTTCCTTTACTGGCATACATATTTCTCAGTTGACTATATTTCATTTTCAGGTGCCATGTATGCAAAAAGGATTTCAAAACCATGCCTGCCCTCAAGTCCCACATTTTACAGCACGCTCCGAAGAAAACCTCCTGACGCACGAGCTTAAGACAGTTTGTCTTTGCGAAATGTTTCCTTTTCTTCAAATGTTCTTGATGATATGTGGTACAGTATAAATGGATGGCACTTGCACATTGAAGAAATATATTCTATCCTGTTTAAAAAAGTTTATGAAGATTCTTGTTTGTGCTGAAATGTTGAAATTGTTGGAACATACACAATTGAAATAAATAATCCTGAATATTGCGGTGACTTCGTCCCATCAATAATACCAGTTGCACTGAAATGAAATGTTATTTAAATACTCATGGGTATATACTGTACAATGAAAAAGATATCTACAAGAATCTTATGTAAAAGGATGTTTACAACTAGACTTATTAATTTACAAGGGCCATTGTACA